GTGGTGGCTGATGAAGTCGCGAGACGGCCTGGTGATGCGCTTCCCACTGAGTCCCCTGAAGATATCTGCCACAACTGTAGCAATCGGGGCTTCATAGTGCGACTGAAGCTTGTCCTTGTACTTGTCCTCCAAAAGGTCTCCCTTCATGTTGAGGTCGAGATTAACTTCCTCATCGCGCTTGAACTGCATTACGAGGAATGGGTATCGCGTCTGACCCTGGCGGAGGGGAGGATCGAGACCGACGGTGATCAAAGTGTGCATGTCGTCGGGTTTTGGCAAAACCATGAACTTCTTGACCGAGTCGAACTGAATCTTGTAGTCGTATGTTTTACCGCGTAACCGGAAGGAGCTCTCGTACATGTCGATATCGAATCGACCTCTGCCAATGGGTCAGTACTTCTTCCAAAACTACAGATGCGAGTGCCATACCTGGGAGTGAGATGTAGGATGTCCAAGAAAGTGGCAAATGTGTCACCAGCGACTTCTCCAATCTCGGCCTTCTCCATCAGCGTCTCGTAGAACAGGTTGGCGGCATTGGTCTCCTCGACGTCCTCAGCCCCAGAGGCGTCCTCGCCGTCCTCTGTCTTCTCCTTCTTCGACGCAGTACCGGGTATGTAGAAGCGCATCTCGACAAGCTGGTCGCGGGCGCCTGCCGACTTCTTGCCTCTGAACCTTGCGCCTCCCAGATTTCCGTTTGCGCCAGCGTCGCCATCGGCAGGCAACGAGAAGTCGACGGCGACTTCGTTCTTGCCCGCCAAGTTCGTGTTGGACACTTCGGTGTAGGGGACTTCGAAGGCGGGGCGGTTGGCTACGTTGAAGGTGAGTTCGGCCTTCCCAAAGTCGGCCTTTCCCCAGTTCCAGCCACGCAGCGCATGCTCCCGGTTGTCCAGCCCGATGCCGTACCAAGTCTTGAAGACTTTGGAGACGCGGTCGAAATCCTCCTGCTTGAAGCCATCGAGTTGTATCACGCCGTCGTTGCGCGAGAGAATCTTGACTTCGTATCCGCGTGATGCTCGGCTCCACTGCGCTTGCTGGATCTGTGACTGGTCGCAAGTGTAGGTTTCGCCGTTTGCGGGCTTCCAGCCAAAGCCAGAGTCGGAGAATCGAGTCGCGCCAGGCTTCCGCGAAAGGTTGAGGTAGATGTCGTTGAACGCCTCCCTGCGCTGTGTTAGCTTCGCCTGTCAGGTCTGTCGCGGACTTTGATTTCTTACATGTTTGCGGTCGCGTCAGAATATTGTAATACTTGTGAAGCAAGACGACCACGGTAATGGGGAGTTGAAGGCGCGACGGAGGGAAGTCGTTACCGGCAAGTTGGTGCTCTCACTTCGTAAACGCGCTGTTTGCTTACCTAAATCCGCTAGTTGCAGATCGCACGTGATAGCGCGATTTCCCTCGCGTCTTATGCAACCAACTTCACTTGCTACTTCCATCTCCATGATGATGGCACGGGTACCAGAGAGTCATTGCCAGTCTTGCCTGGAGTTTTCAGCTCTTTTGTCCCCCCTAAATGCATTCGCTACTCCTCATCGATCGAAGTAGGCTGCACCTGAACAAGCTCTTCCCACATTAAGCAACCGCGAATCCTTCATTCAGCTGTATCATGAGTTCTCCTGGTGTCATTGGTGCTCGATACCGCGACCCAGATCATCTTGCTCGTCGACAGTTCGAACGCATGAGCTCCTTTCTACTATCATTACGCTTCCAATATTCACGATCGCTTCATGTCTTTGAGGCATATGATGTAAGCGTAGATACTGCGATTTTTATTCCTGGATCGACACAACCCGAGACAAGCTATGAATTCTTCGCCCGGGTCGTTGAGCGGTGTTTTCACCAGCGCGCTACAGCTTTTCAAATGACTGGCCAACGTCAAGGAAATACTGCCGCCTCAGCGCCTCTGTCCAAGCAAGCCATCCCGCGAACCATCATACCTTGCGCATTTCGCCTTACAATCGACTATCCGCACCTGATCGCGCCAAATCGCTTGACTTGTCCATGGTTCAAAGGACTAGACTCTGCTTCGCCACAGAGATCAGGCTCCTTCAGTCTGAAGACAGCATATTATCGATTCATAGTTTTGTAGTCCGTATCGCAAATGTCAATGGCAGCAAAATTGGTCAACCGTTGTTCACCCTCTTCTTCGAATCAGTTTGTCCTATCAGTTTGATAAGGTTGAGTCATTTGCTGAAGGTTTCACATCACGAACTGGATCGTCGACCTGTTCTGGACTGTTCACTGCTTGTGGCAACATGCCACGTCAATTGCGGCTATGCATCCCCTCTAGACTACGGACCGCAGCTCATTTCGCCTCAAAGCTAATGTCATCACATGTTTCTAGCTGCATCACCTTTCCCTATCTCCAGCCAACAATCCACTTGTTTCGTCGCGCACAAGGAGTTTAACTTTAGGAAGGATGGATACTGCCTCGCATGTGTACGCTCTGGTCATCAGTGTCCATTTCTCAAGGTCGCAGTCATTGAGTTTAGACTGACCACTGCGCTGAAACCTTCAATCACTTGCGTCAACGTGAATATGCAATCTCATCACTTCGGCTGCGGAGCGTCTAAACGCCCTGTACACTAGCTCCTGAGCTGAGCTGTTTAGACGGAAGTTTGAAGACTTCGTAAGTGACGCATGCTGAACTCGGTCCGGCTGTACCTGACGCAACTCATCCCTATCTGGCCTTTGGAAGAACGAGGTCTGATTCGTTGAATTCATCAAGACGTTACAGATACGTCGTTTCAATGAAGCGGCTTGGGTTCTGGTCGATGGATACATGGACTGTAATATCCCTGGGCGTACGTGTGCACGCCACTAGAATGCACGAGATTAACCGGATCAACGCACCCTTCGATTACATACAATGCTCTTCCAGCCCCCACAGCTGTTGCGGTCAAAGTGATGAACATTCGCCCGAGCATTTGCCCCAGATTAAGGTGTCGACGAACGACAGTAGCGTACGGCAGGAGTATACTCCGCGAGGTGGTAAATGTCGCACGAGAACTCAAAATCTCGTACGTTCTGTAGCCGAAATATCCAATCCTAATTAGGTCACTAGGTGAAATGAGTCCACCTTCTCGGAGTTGCATCCGGATGCTCTTTTATACTGTTCCGCCTCGAAACGAATTCTGTTCATTTTCGGGAATCTTGAACCGAGGCTTCTCATCTCGTATCGGTCACTGCCTGGGCAGGTTTTGGGGAATGTACAATTCATCGCGATCTATGTTCGTCATATATTTGAATATGCCGTGCGGAAGTGATGGACACTCGGGAACGGTGTAATTGTTATGAGCGTGCACCCAGGTACGTAACGAGCTGGGTGAATTGCGAGCACTAAACAGCTGCAGGACGCTTCGTTAAGGGAACGGGCACTTTCCTCAGATTCAATGCACATAAGTTCTCGCAGTTGCGATACTTCTCATTCGAGAGCGTCTCCTTCCGTATGAGTCGTATGAACTGCGGAAGGTGCGGTTGGCTCGTCGTCTCTAGTTCGCCTCTGGGCCATCGCAGTACCATGGGACGGCGGCTGAACGCATCTAAACAACGATGCAGAGCAAGGAAACATTTACGATGATGTTAATTGAAGCATCTAACAGAAAGCTCCTATGACATTATCTGGTGCCTGTCTTACTCAGCATGCCCCTCCAGGTGAGCTCGGAGCTACCCCGCCATGCCGGTACTTCGCTCAGCTCCTTCGACACGACCGAACACCACCATCATGACACCATGACGGATACGAGCGCACAACAGGCTGAAAGCCACTATTTTGCCAATGAGCCCCCGCCAAAAGATCTCAAAACGAACACGACACTTGCGCGCGAGTTCATTACGCGTCATGCCGACGAGGGCCGTCGTGTCGTGCTTGTCACTTCAGGTGGCACTACAGTGCCTCTAGAGCAGCAGACAGTCCGCTATATCGACAACTTCTCGGCCGGTACTCGGGGAGCCACCAGTGCTGAGTACTTCCTCCAAAATGGCTATGCCGTCATCTTCCTGCACCGACAGTTTTCGCTGTTGCCTTTCTCACGACACTACTCGCACAACACGCGCTCATTCCTGGACTACATGAAGGAGGAAAATGGACAGGTAGTGGTGGATGAACAGCATCAGGACCAGATGTTGCGCGTGTTGCGCCAGTACACGGAGGTCAAGCGAGAGAACAAGCTATTGATCCTGTCATACGTGACCATCACCGAGTACCTGTGGAATCTGCGCGAGGTTGCGCAACTCATGCGTCCACTTGGGCCGAAAGCCATGTTCTACTTGGCCGCCGCCGTGTCTGACTTCTTCGTACCCCAAGACCGCATGGTCGAACACAAGATACAGTCCAACGAAGAGTTCCACCAGGGCCCAGATGGCGCCCGTGGGGGCGACGTAAAGCCACCGGCTGCGCGTACTGAAGGAAAGAGTCTGATCATCGATCTCGAGCCGGTACCTAAGTTCCTCAAGCAGCTGGTGGATGGCTGGGCGCCCGATGCGATGATTGTGAGCTTCAAGCTCGAGACTGACCCTGCCTTGCTGGTTACCAAAGCCAAATACGCCCTGAACAAATACTCGCACCATCTTGTAATCGGAAATCTACTAGCCACTCGGAAATGGGAAGTCGTGTTCGTGTCCGTCTTCGATGACGAAAAATGGATACGCGTACCCACCAGCCGTAGAACGAAGAGCTTGTCAGGAATGCCATCACTTGTCGGGTTGGCCGATCCCTTGACCAAGAAGGACGTTCAAGCAAGCGAATCACTTGCAACAGAGAAAGGGGTACCGCAGGGCGAGCCTTCTCTGGAAATCGAATCTCTTATCATCCCCGAGATTGAGAAGATGCACACCAAGCTCATAGACAAGACCCCTGCATAGCAATCCCAGACATGATGAGCAAGCGTTGTTTGTACTTTGCCTTCCACGGCATGTGTTCCGATACGGGTCATTGGATCGCACGGCATCTTACACGTGTTCATCAGGCTTTCAATCTACATATTACATTGATTTTACCGCATTGCTCACTCTAGGATGACCCTCCACTGTGCCGAAGTGTGGCGTATGCTGGCGCCCCAAATAACCAACAAGACAGCACCGATGCCGACTATGCCAGCGAAGACCCCAGCCAGGGTACCGAAAGCTCGGACAAAACCCGCCTCTTCAGCCCAAGGGATTACACCGAAGAGGAAGCCAAATGCCACGATGTTCTTCAGCCCGTTCACAAGCAGCAGTACGTCCGAGTTGACTGGAAATGCGCAGTCGCTCACATACGCTATAGTGATCGTTGGCATGGCTGTGAGCGCGATCGAGATCATGCCGTACCCAAAAAAGAGCGAAACCCACGACATGGCGTTCTGAACACCGTAGCCGAACACAAGACAGCCTGCTGTTGTGATCACCAACGGAATGCCCACCAGGTATAGTCGTGTTTCTGGCTCGTAGATGCCGAGCATTTTCCTTGTTCGCCACCTGCACCATGCGTCCACGAGGTCACCTGTATTCAATCAGCACGTTTCCTGGCTACGTGGTGCTCAATTGTGACTTACCTCCTGCCCAAGCCCCGATCACATTGCCCAAAAGGCCTGGGATATTGATCAGGCCGTTGATCTGTGGGCTCCAATTGTACGGAGGTGCTTGCAGCACGAACGGATTGAGAATGTTGACCGCGATGGTAATGACCAGGGATATGGAGTAGCAGAGAAACGCGTATATGACCGCGGGATACACGATCATCGGCCACGGTCTGCTAGACGTTAGCATCGGCTTCCCCGTCCCGCTGAATAAATACATACCGTATAAACAGCTTCACCAGACTCGTCTCCGAGACGCCACTCCACAGGCTCAGCTCCTGCCTCCATGTGTTCTTTACCTCTTGGTGCAAGATGCGGTTACTCGATTTTGGGCGAAGATGTTTCTCTTCCGCCATGACGATCTTATCGTTTGAAGGACAGATAGCCACACCAGCGCCTTTGATATGCTCACGCGCGTATCGAGTCTCAGGGACTAAGAGCAGTATCGTGAGGAAGTTGAGTGCGGTCAGAATTGCAGCAATCCACTTGTGCCATCGCCAGCTGAGGTTCGTCGCGATGAAGCCGCAGACCAATGGTCCCACCGTATTACCACCTGCTATCGCGTTCCTGACGCACAGTCAGCGTACTGAAAAGGGTACATAGGGAGGGGATATATGCTCACATATAGAGACCCATCTTGCTGCCTCGTTCATGCAGGAAGAACAGGTCCTGGGAACACTCAGTCAGCTCGTCGGTCAAGATCGCTCAGCCCATTGCCCTTTGATTGGGTTTGGATATTAGCAAGTAGTACAGGATTACTCACATTGACTATTGCAGCACCCAGAGCTTCTGTAGAAGACCCTGCAAACGCGGCGACAATATTACTCCACAAAAGGCTCTTGAACGAATTCGCCATGGCGCCCCAGACGCAGCATGCGCACAGCAGGGCACTGGCGAATACGAAAACCGGTCGTTTCCCGAAATGATTGGCCATTGGTACCCAGAAGAAATTGAACACGCCCAAGACCAAGACGGGGTATAAAAGTAGATGCGCAGTCTCGTCCATCGGCTTATCAAACTCGAGCGAGAGAATATGGAACGCTGGCGCTAACCCTGCGATCGAATAGTTTGTCAGGAAAGTAAAGGCGCACACCGAAGCGAATGCGACATGTTTCTTCCATCGTGGCCAGCGGAGAGGGTCGTTCGGGTCGGTTGGCGAGGGTTGTGGGAAGAGGACGATGTCTGCCGGTGCACTTTCACCATACCCAGCTGCAGGCGCCGAATTAGCTCCGCATTCGAACGGACAAAGACGAGCATCACCGTACCTTGTTGCAACACCACCGTACCGTCAGTGCGATCTAGAGCCCTCAGGCTGGTGAAATGGAAGCCCATCATGATGTCAAGAGCCTTGGAACCAGCAGTAATCTCGACCTTGGGATCCTTTACTTCGGGTAGGAAACTGCCACTCAGAACCAGGACCAAGCAGGTGCGTCGCTATCGCTTTTAGTCTTGTCTTTAATGGGCGACATGGGGAGCACCCAGCGGAAGGTAAACATTGTTGACATGTGGTCGGACGCATGCTATGTAGGGCTTACGGAGTTCCGTGCAAGGCAAGATTACAGGTGCAGACTAGTCAACCAGGAAACTTTCCAAGGTTCTCACGCGCAGCAGGCGCCAGATTTGTTGATATACACATGCGGTCGTGTCTCCATGCTTGCTTATTTGGTTGGCTGAATGGAGATGGCTAATATGGGTATGGGGTCTGTCTGGTGCTGACATGCTGGACGTTCATGCAGTCCCGGGACATGCGGGGCCGGTCGAGATCCCGTGCCCACCATGATCGACGGCCAGACTCGATTCTGAAGGCCCTTCTCTACAAAAGAAACGCTCAAGTGCCATGGGAGATGCCGGACTGAAAGGCAGTAGCGTATATTCGTGCTTCGACTGCCGACTGCCACGATCCCGTTGCGTGGATCAGTCGATGGCAATGTGAATGTCGATTATGGTGTCAACAACCAACTTTGGCAGCCGTGCCAGTCCTTGTCGTACACACGATCGGTGGTAATCACGACTTCGTGAGATTGCGTCGCCATGCGCTCATCTCTTTGCTTTGTCAACCTGTGAGCGCCCTCAATCGCTGCGCCTGTCCCTCATGAGACGACCTTGGAACGAGTCAAACATTCTCCATGTTACTGCGGATGGAGATTCCCAGAGGTCTGAGCTAAGGCATCTCCACCGCGCGACGAGAGGAGGCTTGCGTCATGTCGGAGACTTATCGATCACTTTAGTGACGCTCAAGAAGCCGTGCATGATTGTTGTTGCGGCGCCATCCCGTCCCGTCTCGCTAATCGTCGCGCCAAGCCTACCAGCGTGAAGGCCGCGGGGGACTCGACCTTGGAACCACAACTTCAACTCTCCCCCCAAGTATCCCGACTAGCACACCACAGTGTATTGACTCGGCTTCTACCGCTCACGTTATCAAATCACGTTGCTAAGGTGGTGGTCGCGCGGCCAGTGCTCAGACGCTCGACGATACGGATGGAAGCCGAGCTATGCTTCCCGAATGCAACGTTGGACACATCGCAGAACATGACACGGAGGGGCAGTTGAGATGGATCGTATGGCGAGTGATCGATTTCAGTGTGAAAGGTTTCCTTCTCTGATGACGCTGACGTTCGCATCTAAGGCTTTATCTGACGCGACAGCTCGTTTTTCCTTACGCCACAACGTCTCGGATTGCGCGCCCAGTCGTCATGAAGCTGTAAATTCATCTTCGTCATATCATCCTCTTCAGATTGCGACACGAATCATGTGCGGTCTTTTCTTCTTCCCTCGAACAATGAAGGGTCTCAGAATGAACATGGAGTTACGTTTCAATGACGCCGTACGACAAGAACGAGATCCAATACAATACCCCACGGCCATGTCTACGACCGCACAAATGAGTCCAAGTGACACGACTTCTTTGCTAGCTGAATTGGGTGGATATACTGCATTTGTTCCGATTCCCCATGGCGTCCGTCAAGAGGATCAGCAGAGCCATCAACGCGCGCTGCAAAGCATACCGCATGCGCAGGCATATTTGCAGCGTTTTAGAGCGTTTCTCGACAGACGCCATCGCATGCTGACAAGACAGTGCTTCCTTGCACCTTTGCTTTTCGCCCATGAACCCTGCCCATCGGGTCCACGGTGACGCCTTGCGTTGCACGGCGTGGCGCCTATTGGACCAAGCACATATCGCATTCCCGCTAAACAGCCAAAGAGACGCGGAGATCTTACTGCTACTGCACGTTCATCGACCGAAGATCAATAGAGTACAGCGCTGTCGAATCCGCGGATGCGGCGCAACGTGACGCTTGATCCTAGCCTACACCAAAGTCTCTCTATCGGAGTGTATCCCCGCCACCGCCAAAGCATGGTGACTTGTTTGGATTAGACTTATAACCTGATAACCACCCTGTCTCACCGCTTGGCCCCGGTACCCTGGACTCGCACCAGTATATATCGTCTACGGACCCAGACTCTTACCAAAGTTTCTTTACATCATAGGCCCAACACCTCCCTTTCCTCACGCTATCACTCCTCACCATTTCCAACACTGAAACATAGTCGCTATATGGCTACATCGACCGTGGCCAGACTCGCGCCCCAGAACTCTTCAGCCCTAGCAAGAAACCCATCACCTCTCATGGATCCCCGACCACCACCAGGAAATCCAGCGACGACTGCGGAGATGTGGGATAGGTACGAGAGGCAAGCTGTGGAGACGGCCAGAACGAGAGAGAGGACTATGCAGCCACCACAGCCCCACCGCATAGTGATTCCAATCAAAGACAAAAGGCATAAACCAAATGACGTTTCACCGACAATACCAAGCTTCGACTTCAGAAGACGTGGCCACACAACAACGGTCTCGACTACACTAGCTACCTGCAAGACCTGTACACTTCCTATCACCTATGTCTCTGGAGTTTGCGAAAGTTGTACAAGAACCATCATCTTGCCATCTTCCAGCGGCGAAACCACTCCGCCTATCAGTCCAGCCTCTCGGAACTTCGCCTCTACTGACCTTATTAAATTGCGCAAGAACTCATATGGGGAAGATGTCAACATCCGAACATCAACAACATCATCGCGACGAACGTCGTACTGTCCACTACCAGCGCACCTTGCAGACCCCTCATTCCGGCTGTCCACACTACAGCCACCCCCCGAACTGGAGGCTTTCTCCAACGACCCCATACGAAACAGAAGAAAGACATCTCTCACAGACCCCAACGAGCCATTCCTCCGTTTACAAATCGCGCAACAAGCACCTTTACCCCGGTCTACAATGAACTCACCACCCATAACCCCTACATCACCACCGCCATGGGCAACCCATTCTCGCTCTTCCACGCGACGATCCAGTCTAGCAAACGCGGCAATACTGCCAAAGCCCGCCTACCCACACGCGCGCACCGACAGTGTAGCTTTATCAGAATACAGCACCCTCTGCCCCATCCAAACCACACTAACAACCAAACTGGACAACACAACCAGCGCCTGGGACGACTGGGATAGCGACAACGATGACGCGGATAGAGCGGGTCTCGCGAGCTGGATGGGCCGGCGCAAAACCAAGGGTCGAGGTAGTGGGCCCAGGGAAGGCAAAGGTAGCATGGACAGCACTGAGAGCGACAACGACGCCACGAGGCCCAGTCTGTGTCTGCGAGAGACACCCAAGAAGGCAAAGAAGAGCATGAACATCAGTAAAGAAGATCAAGGTTTAGAACGCGCTAGGATTGAAGCTGCGGAGAATGCGAGGGCAAGGCGGCGAGACGCGGAACAGAAGCTTGCGAAGAAGAAACCGAGTGGGTTCATCAGAGCGATTACCTGTGGGAAGAGCGATACTGATGGTTAAGTTTGTTTTACGCGGTTACTGCTTTCCTTGCGTTTTGGTTTGAGCAGGGCGTTTATCATGGGCGATATTTTTAAGGATGATACCACGCAAAAAGGTTGGACTGGTGTTTCGGTATTGGGCTCTATGGTATACATGTTTTACGACTACATAGGCGATTAAGCTATCTTAACTCATAACGTATAATATATTATTCAGAAGAAGTTCATATTCGTTCGTTGTCACTTGCATTGTCATCGCTTTCGCGATCTCACTCAGCGATACATTCCCACTTCTCCCAATAACAGCGCGGAAGTATCATCACAGACCCATCCACCCCATTCATCCCGAAAAATCCATCCCTACATTCCCAACCCCATACTAGAAGCCAACACACACACCCTCCACCGCTAAACGCCCTCCTGCACATTCCCGCACCCGCATCCGCATACCTACCTATCTACCTACCTTCCTATTCCCGTACCTGCTACCGAAGTCGCGTACACCCAGCCGCGCGCTCCCGCCCAGTCCACCCGGTAAGAGGTGAGAATGCGGGTAGGCGAGCGGTGACCCCATTGCCAGTCTTCACAGGGTCGTTGGCCGAAAAGCCGCGTAGGGGGTGGTAGGGGTAAGCGAGGATGCTGTGGGAGGCGGTGATGTGGCCTGGGGTACGACTGACGAGGCGGATGTGTTGAGGTGGGGTGGGGGGTTTAGAGGTCCGGTCGTATGGTGGAAGGTGAGTTGGGGGATATTTGGCAGTGGGGTGAACCAGACGGTGGAGTGGATTGCGATGAGCTGCTCATGACAGCTTAAGACATCATCATGGCCCTGCTACAACCTCATCCACACTACCCATCACCATCATCATCGAATCCCTTCTACCAAGCCCCTAACACCACCTAACACCCTCCCACGCAATGTAAAACCCATGTATCAACGTCGCTCCATCGCCCGCCTCGACCGAGGCCGTGGACATCTGATCAAGCTGGTAGTATGTGAAATGCGGATGTCGTGGCTACGCTTTGTGCTGCAAAGCATCGGTGAGGTCACCATACTGAATTAGACGCTCCGTTGTGTAACGTGTTGCGGGGCTGAGCGGTTGTAGGCGAGCGTTACACGAAGGGGGCGGGTGGGCGGTCTGGGCTTCTGAGGTTTGGGGTTGTTTGTGCGTGCGTGCGTGCGCTGTGTGTGTGGTTAAGAATGTGCGCTGTATCTGGATGGTTAGCTGTAAGTTGGCGCTGAGGTAAATGATGGTTTTGGGCAAGAAGGTAGATAGCTGGACAGGCTGCGATGTCGCAACTTCGAGATCGTAGTCCACGCTCGCGCATCACAAGTGGCGGTGTGGAGGCACGATAGGCGTTGGTCACGTCTAACAACTCGTCGCACTGTGGCGGACGCACCTACAATCGCTTTGAGGTTGTCGGTGCACATGTCAGCTGCCAGTTAGCAGGGCGAAGATGTCAGTTGTTTCGGATATACCGCCTTGACCTTGGCTTCTAGGAATCTTGACTGAGCCCACTGCAGGGTGTGCTTTCGACGACAAATTACAAGTGGTGATGAAAGGGCCAGCTGCATGTTTCTGTTTTCTTCATCTCCTGACATGCGAAGACGGATAAATCCGCGCTGTAGAGTTTCGAGGTTGAAATGTCGTTCTTGGCCGCGTGCGACATGTCGAAGTTAAAGTTTGATCACACTTCAATCTCCATATGGTTTGATAGGTTGACAGCGGGAGAAATGAAGTGATCCAAAGCTGTTGTCAACTCATCAGGCGACAGGCGAGGGTTGGAAGTTGCGAGCAAGTCGACTGAGATTGTGTAGCTTCGCACGAGCGGGTAAAGTGAAGGTTGGAGGTCTCGGGCGGACCGAATGTGACTAACAGTTAACAGTTACCAAAATCATCTTCGGTTCCGCACCCCCTAGTCATGACTATGATATTAGCAGTAGGAGAATGCGAGGACCACGTGATGCTGACCGTTGGGTTTTGGGTTGAATTACCACGCCGGCATCCGGTCACTTGGCCCAACGTACTGCACATTGCTACTCCTTTTCAAATGAGAAGACGTCATAGTCCACAATCGATACGAGTCGGAACTCACGAGGTCCGAAATTTCGACGAGACAGAAGTTGCGGTGGTGTTGGCAAGCTCATGCAAGCTCAAAACTAGCAGCAAGCCTTCCAATAGTTTGGGGCCCATCAACGACGGGCTGCTGGCTACTTCAACCGATGCTGCCGCGGATAGAAAGGTACCTGGACTACCGACAAACACCACAGGGCTTGCGGGAATAATGGCGCGGTGCCATGAAAGCCCGAGGCGTGAAGACAAGGAAGCATGGAGCTGTTTGAGACGCTATTCTAAATGGGTACAGCTTCTGACTTAGCCCTGCAGTATGTTTTGATGAGCTGTCACAGATCACGAACAAAAGAAATCGCTGAGCGCAAATATGTCAGAAGAAGTCGGGTGTCGGCACACAATCGGGAATTTGTGAAAAGAGGGGTAGGCGACGAGCATGGAGGTCGTGGCGGTGCTGGACGAGGTTGGTGGCTGCACGCCTTGGTGAAAGTTAACGCGGTCGGTCAAATCTCAGTCCATCGGTGTTGTTCCGGCATTGGCAGTCAGCAAAAGGCGCGACGCCTGAAGCATGGTGGATGCGATGGCATTGGCACGGTGGCGTGAGCGTCTCTCGTGATCTGCCACGAGGTAATTTCCTTACGAACTGCTCATTAATCGATACGCGGACGGGCCAGAGATAGAATTGATCGTCTTGCATCATCGTTGCCTGTCGTTGCTTGTAACCGACCGCGCGGATGTCACCAAAGCTTGTCGCTTCGTGTCGGGTCCGGAGAACGCGGCACTGGTGATAGTGATGGCCCACCTTGTGGGCTAGAAGGATGGCCGGTGTGTGTGGGAATACGGGAGCGGCCAGGGTCTGAGAAGGCCCGCCGGAAACTATGGAAGCGTTGTCTGTGAGGACGGCGTCAGCAGCGTCAGATTTATGTTTGTTGACTGCTTGAGCGCTGCTGGGCGCAGGGTTTTCTTTGACCTTTGACGCAACACGCAGGTGCGTGTCTTGGTGTTGCCAGTGTGTTGGTCGCACCTTACCCCTGACGCAGGCTGTTCTGTCAGACTAGCCGAATCGGGCGGATCTGTGGGGTCGCTTGTTACCGCATCGGGACAGATGGCTGCCAGGCGAGCCGTGGGCGCAATCTCTTCGACGCCAGCTGGCCAGCGCCTGAAGCTTATCTGGCTCTAGCGAAGGCTTGAGTTCTTCCGTCTGCTTGGTGACAGCGCGACAACGTTGGCAGGACGATCCTGCGCTGGCGGTTTAGGCCCTGAGTTCTGCGTGCCTTATCAATAGCGCCGCTGTTGCGTTCCACCTTTTACGAGGGCACATGTGGACGTTCAGCATCACCATCCCCACCACATCATCGGATCAGGCCCAGCGCATGCCGCTTGCCGTGCTCCCCTCTCGTCGTGTAATGCGAACCAATCCATACGCCCAGAAATAGAAGCTCGACGAGGCCAATCCCCGCGATGATCTTACCGCACAGTGCTCGCATTGGCTGCGCTAGGGTGGAGATTGCCGCTCGTGCCCCTTAGGGCTGTCCTGAGCAATACCGTTATTGGTCGATGCGTCCAATGTGTGCCTGAATTTTCCTTTTCCAGTCGCAAATGGCCGACGCGATGACTAGCATGGCTGAACGTCCTTCGTATACGCGGCATCGTCGTAGGTACTTGAATCTGGGCGCGCCCGCTTCTATCCTCCTCACCTCCATCGCTGTAGGCGCATCTCAAGTACCTGCCTTCAGCACTCCATTCTTTACCACCTCTCGGCCGCTGTCACTCGTTTCCAGCTGCCTTGACCCCATACAGCAAACCTCTAGTAATACTTAATTTGTTTTCGCTAGGTACGTACTTTCCTTGTGTTCTCGCTACCGCGCGGGGCTCCGCAGCCGCTTCCCAAAATACGTTGTTCTGCATGCTGGTGTTAGCCTTCTTTTTCGCTACACCAACCTCGCCATGCGACGACGTCCTACCCGCCCGCCAAAAACCAACTCCATAAGCGTTGTGCCGCCGCCCCTGGACTATCAATGCTATTCATCACCTACTTATACCCCTGCTATCCTCATTCCACAACGACATCGCGGATGATTACCCGGCCACATCTCTCGGCTTACACACTCTTTCTACCACACTCGTTTCTAACACCCTGCCTAGGTGAACCCTCATAATGAAGGCTTCTCTCTTCGGCCTCGGCGTCCTCGCCGGCCTGGCCAGCGCAAACATCAACTTCCTCTGGGTCAACCCCACATGCGACCACCTAGACCCCAACACCCTCTGCCTGACTGGCCAGCACTGCGACGAAACCGACTGCTGCGTACCTGACCTAAAGAGCGAGTACTCCAAGCTCGTCTCGCGCTCATCGCGCTCATCTCTTCGCGTTGTTCCCGCCAAGAGACAGGCTGCCAAGTACTCTCAGGACGGAAAGTGCGGCCCTGCTAACGGCAACCTCCTCTGCGACCCAAACAGCACTGTCTACAAGGGCACATGCTGCTCGCAGTACGGCTGGTGTGGAAGCACCGCCGCTCACTGCACTCAGGGCTGCCTGTCTGGCTGTGACAACGGTGCCTCCACGCCCGCTCCCACCAAGGCTGCCACTTCAGGTGCTGCTAAGCCCAGGGACGACGGCAGGTGCGGAAAGGACTTTGGTGGCGCTACATGCGATGCCAACGGTGCTTACGGCGGCTGCTGCTCGTCTTACGGATACTGCGGTTCCACCGACGGTCACTGTCTCGCTGCCAACGGATGCCAGAACGGATGCAAGGGCGCCACTGCTACTCAACCCGCCAAGGGCAACCCAGCCCCTGTCAGCAGCCGTCCTCCCTCTACCACCACCTCCGGCGAGCCAGTTCTTGGTAAGCCCTCGACTGCTCCCGCTTCCAAGCCCACCGGCGTCGCCACTACTGATGGCAGCTGCGGTGCCAAGTTCGGTAACACTGTCTGCGGTAACTGGGCCCAGGGAAGC